TCCCTTCCTGGCGGTGTTAAAACATCTAAGCCCTTTCAGTCCCGGTTTCTTCATCTGTAAAATGGAATCAAATGCCAATAATCAGGAATAGCCCTGGGAAAGGATTTGGAGGGGTGGGTGGGAAGGCATACGGAAGACGGCAGAAGTCCTATTTACTGATTCTTGTGCCCTAGACACTGTGCTAAATGTATAGACTGATTAGCTCACTCAATTCTCAAACCCCAAGGTGGCACTGGGTACCCCGCACTAATGGAAGGATGCTGTGATTCAGAGGCATCACGCCACTTGCTTGGGCCAAGGAGTGGGACCCTCCTTTCTCCAAGTTGTATCAGTCATACCGCCACACACAGAACACTTTGAACTTCGCACACGTACTGTCGGGCCGGGTCCTTAGAACACGCGGGAAAGTCAGCTATCAAAGTCATCACTGCTCTGTTTTGCAGGAGAGAAAACCAAAGCATGTCCCTCCGTGTCCCACCGCCAGAAATCTCTACTGGGCAAACACAGCTCCCTCCCCCCCAAAAGAGTCCCTACCCCTAAAAATGTGGTTTGGGTCAGGTGACAGCCCCGCGAGGAAGGAGAGGTGGCACGTCTGTGGTTGGGAAGCGAGCAGGCACCATGCTCTTCAGCGCTCAGAAGCCTGGGCCGCCAGCAGCTACACACCACGCAGAGCGCCCACGTGTTCTTCATCCATCCTCACAGAGCCTCCGGGTCACTGCTCTAGTTGCTCCCATTTTACAGTTGATGGTCAAGCTCAGGAAAGCAAAATAACTTCAGCCATACAGCTGGCAAACAGAGGTACTGGGACTTGAACCAGATTGGCTGACACGTTCCCAACCACTGTGGGGCCCCTCAAAGTCTTTGTTAACTATGACGATGGGAGTCAGGAATCTGAAAAACTGTTTCACAAGCACCCACGGGACCCTGGGATACTTAGTTTCCCCATCTCTGGCCTTAATCTTTTTCTTACAGGGAAGGGGGCTCAGTGAGATATCCCTCAGCTCTGACCTCACGTGTTGCTCTACGTTGATCTTAAACCAGTGTTTCCCAAGGGAAATGTTGTAACCTACCTCAGGACCTTTGCACTTACTATGTCTGAAAAAGATCACCCCGACTTATCTTCATGGTTCACTCCTCAGCCAACTGCTCAGAAGACACTCTGAGAGCCACCCCTCACCCCTCAAATAGGCATTCCCTAACCCTCTTACTAGGGCTCTTTCCCGTGTCACTTGTAACTAGGACATGATCATGATATATTTACTTATCATGTGTATCCTCCCACTAGAATGTAAGCTACTTTGTTCCATCCCTTATGCACCCGTAAACCCCAGCTACTACATGACAGAAATCAGGTAAATATTTGTTGAGCAGATGTGTGAATACATTAAATCCATTTCAGTGCCCCTACTATCTTCCAGGCAGAAAGCCTGGGTAACCCCACCACCGTGATGGAACCTAGCCACGTGCAATTATCAACCTGGCTGCCATGTTTAATAAGCAAACCTGAGTTGGACGCAACAGCTTACAGGATGGGAGTAAACCTCATAACCAGACAAAGTAGGCTGGCCGATTCCACTTGCAGAAAATACCTCTCAGCCCTCTCCATCCCGTTAACCTGCTTTTCTTTCCTCAAGGAGATTACAAAACAAACCATCACCCATTACCACTGGGTTTAATTACTCAGATGATTTTAACAGGGCAGCAGGCTTTAATTACAGGCATGTCTGCTGCCAAGGGACTAAAGGTACCCGCCACGAGTGTCCATGGTTTTCTAGGAGGGGTCATAGAGTATGGGGGCTGATTTAGCGTTGGCTCAGCCATAGAGATTCTGCCAGGAAAGGTGCTTTTAATTTAACCCCTGCAGATACTGAACCGGGACCACGCATGCTGGATTTCCTCGATTGCCAAAGGACAGCCATCCTTCATAAGTGAATGCCAGAAGGAAAGTCTGCAGAATGAGATCCTGCTCTTTGAGGAAGGTTCAAAAAGACTAGCGACATGGGAAGGATTTTTCTCCCCGCACCGCCCTCCCAAACCTGGTGGGTGTCAAGCCCTGGGAGAAGCCTCACCACTGCTTTATTCCAGACCCATTTCAAAGCACGCACCCAGGCAGCACACCGAAATGAAAGCCGGCTGCCTAGGCTTTCGTTTAATGAGATGAGAATTGAGGTTCAAAAATAAACTGTGCAAAGCCTCGTAGGGAAATACCAGATGACAGAAGAAGAACTGGGCGACCGAGTGCATAAAAGGTGGCAGTGTGGGGAGCCCACGTCTAAGTCAATAACCGGGTCAGGCGGGATCTGGGGGTCAAAACAGTAGCTTAGTTGTTAATCAAGTGGTAGAACTGACCTTGGATGGCTGGGTAAGAGCTGCAGCTCTATGGAGATGCTTCCGCGCTCCCAACAAACGTTGCCTTTTAGCAAGCACACAGTGATGCCATTTCTAGGAATTTAACCTTCAAGGTTGCTTGTGCTTAAGTCAAACAACACGCAGGCAAGGGAGGATTGCTCCCGCAGAGTTTTTAGATGCGAATGACTGGAATCCACCCCAGCCTTCCTTGGTTGGGGCCCCAGTTAAATAACTGATGCTCTGTTGATACAAATGGAAAACGATGCGGCAATTAAAAAGAACAAGGGAATTCTATATGCACTGAGACGGAACAATCAACAGGGTATGTGGATAAGCAAACAAAAAAAAAAAACAAAACCCCACGATTTGTGACAGGGGGCGTGGCCCGTCCCTATGAGTTAAAAAGAGCAGCACAAAAGCACAGTCCAAAGCCAGACCACCTTAAGACAGGATTCCAACTCCCAGTCACTAGTTAATGGGACTTCGGGCAAGTTACTTTGTCTCTATGGACCTCGGTTTCTTCATCCATCCAATGAGCTATTAAGAAGAGTTAATGTATCTGAACATACGTTCTCAACAAGGCTTATGTGTCCCCCACCTGAAAGGGCAAACATTAGCTCAGACCAAGAGGTGGTGAAAAGAATCTTAAGCTATTACAGTGGTCTGGGATCTTCCAAAGCTTGACCCTACCGGATCAATCTTAACCCTTAGTGTTTAATTTTAAACGATGTTTTTCTTCTTAGGAGAGTGATCTTGAAAAAAAGGTTGACAGACAATGGTCTGAAGTCCTCAAAAGCTGCAGAGAGCAGATGGGGATGACACTGACCTGTGACACTGCTGTCAGGCTGAAATGAGAGGCCACGAGGCCCCATCTCTTTATCCACCCCACCCCCCAACGCCCCACCATGCCAGGCTGTGAACTTGAGTAACAAACCTCATTTCTCAGATGAGGAGCCTGAGGTCCAAAGAAGCCAAGGGATTAGCACAGCCAGGCGACTGGGCACCCCCACTCGACACACTAACGGTGCTTCAAGACCACATGCTTCACGGAGCTGCCCTACAATCCATTCCGGGTCGTGATAGGTCAACCCAAATACGCCCTCAACCATTTGAGCGCCAGTACAGGATGGCAAGTCTAGCCCAGAGACTGCTATAGCACACGGCCTGGAGCTCCCGTCAGGTCCACTTGAGCCACTGGTCCTTTGCTCTGACAGTGTCTTCTTGGGAGGCTCCCCAGAGACATGAGCACTGAGCCCTGAGCCCTGAGCACTAAGAACAACCCTACCTGCTGTGAACAATGGTCTCTGTCAGTTATTTGGACACAGGGTGATGGAAGGCAGTGAACCTGTTTTTCCTGCCGGAAAGCTGTGAGCTCAATCTCTGGTTCCCCCATCACGAGGCCTTCGTATTATCAATCCTGAGTCTAAGTTAAGGCCCCACCACTGTGTTTCCTTCCTTTGGCCTCATTTTCACTTACGCCATCTTGTTTTGTAGACTGTGATACAACCGTCCTAGAATAGGATGTAAATAGGAGGAGTGTAAAAAAATAGTTCAACACAAACTCAAGGAACTAACTCCAAGAGGTTCCAGAAAAAGCCACCACTGACAGAACTCAATGGGCTAGATCACCCAATTTCCCGGGCGCTTTTGAGGGAAGCTGGGAGGGCAGACACTGGTGTTTGGGCTGGAAAATATAAGATGGAGAGGTCTCATAAGGTAGGGAAGTACGTATATGGAGGTGGAAAAGAACAAGCAGGGGCTTAGTCATGAGGGTCTTAGCAGGCACATCAAGTGATTCCCTGGTTCCTTCACTCAGTCAGTCAGTCAGTCAGTCAGTCAGTCCGGACCTGCCACTTACAGAGCACCGGGCTCCATGCAAAACTAAGTGGTGGTGACAGAGGCCAAAGGGTCCACACGGCTTCAGATATTTACCGTCAGACCCTTTACAGCAAGTCTGTCAACCCCACATTTTATTTGTCAGTATACAAACATTTTTTGAACCAACAGAAAAATTCTGACACCCTCTTGAGACCCCAGGTTTCTCATCTATTACATGTGGCACGATAAGCGTGCCAGTGTGAAGATTAAATGACAGAAGGCACAGGAGGCTCTGAGAAGGAAGCCTAGGCACAGACACTGCCACGCTTTTTTATGCCCATTACTACTGATCTCCCAACGGCTGGGAGGACAGGGAAGGAAGATCACCAATGTGTCTTTACAACACAGGCAGCCTTTTTCATTCCAGTTCTAGGAAGGGGTATAATTATGATTGAAGTAATCCAGGCCCTTTACAGGCTATTTTCCTATGCTCTCTAGATGTTCAGATGAGTACGGGTTTTTTCACTATTTCAACAGTTCTGAAATGGAGGCTTATCGTAGCGTCAATGTGGACAACTGACTTGTTCATTCATATTTGCTGAGAACCAACTATGTGGCAGGCACTGAAGATCTGTGAAAATATGGGAGCACTAAGTGTGTGTGTGTGTGTGTGTGTGTGTGTGTGTAGTTCACAAGACAAAGCTATGCTCACTCTGAGTTCATGCTGGAACAAGGGAGGCACACGGTAACTGTATATCGGTTGTCGGCTGGTAATAACAGGTATGAGGAAAAACAAATCTGCACAGATGGGACAGACAACAGTGATAGTTTACCATTTTAAGAGTGGTGGTCAGGAAGGCCTCTCCAGAGGAGGAGCTTTGAACCAGGACCTGACACAGGTGAGGGAGAAAGCGTGCTGCCATTTGGAAGCACAGGGCTCTAGGTAGAGGGAAGAAAAGGTGTGAGATCGAGGGCAAAGACACGCATCTTTGGCAGTAGTCTCCCCCCACCCCCCACCTTTCCCCTCTTGATGCCAGAGCTGTTCCTATTGCAATGCTACCCATGGATTACAGAAATGCTATATTTGCACAGTACTGGCGCGGCGTGAAATAATGGCGCAGGGATTTGGACGGGGAAGGGGAGAGCGGTGACTATAACATTTTATTTCAGCTTACTCAAGCTCAGCTCCTTTGAAATAGCTGACGTGTTTTCTTGGCCATAAACCTGCGGTAAGCCTATGTACACAAGCCTCACCTGTCAACAACCTAGTAAATCCACAGGTAAGATTTTTTTCTCCCTTCCAAAAAGTCATGGGAACAGAATGGGTTGTAATCAAAGTTGTAGGACCAGTTAAGGCAGCCCTGCTTCCTGCTTTGCACTTGATGAGTAAAGCTGAATGAGAAGGTGTCTATTTCTGCAGAATGTTAGCATAGCATTCAAGATAAATCAACGTATTTGTGCATACATCCCCAAACTTTGCAAAGACAGAGGCGACAACGGGATAATGAGGTCGCGGCTGTGACATTTCTCTGCCAGGGTTGTCACAAACTCGCCAAGAACAAAGCCATATTCCGAGACAAGAAAGGGCACCTGCTTCTGGGTAACAAAGAAGACCTGACCCTTAAAGCCACATGCACACTTCCAGCTATGCTCACTGCTGCATCCGAGTGCCTCCTGTGGCCACTAACAACTTGATGTGAGCCTACACATTGTCCCTATCGTATGAGGAGGGGGGAGGTCAGGGATGTGCGGACTCTGAAGCACAATCCCCATGGCAGGGTGCCACGAGGCTTCACTACCTGGGACAGGAGAGGAGTCATTCCGAGACTTGGGTTCAAGTTCACGTGTCCAACCTGAGTATAAGTCTACAGTCACTGATCTAACTACCTTCTCTGATTTCCAAAAATATGCCCTTCTGGATTCTAGCGGATGGCAGATTAGAATGTGTATGTGCGTTGGAGTGAGAGACAGGAGAGGAAAGGTCTGAGACAGGAGACAGGAGGGTACACTTTGAAACCTCCTTCAGGTATCACAAACTCACAGCACAACAGCTAATCCCTGATCATGGTGATGGTGCCGTGGGCATCATTTTGTTCTCCAGATCCTGTTTACAAGGCACCGAAGGCGTCACACATCTTCAGGAAGACAGGTTAACCAAACTGTGCAGGGAGCACTTTCAGGGTCAGGTTCAGTTATGTGTAACATTCACGTGTAATACAGAATACCTTCTTTCTTAACAAGACCCAAGAGACCAAATGTTAGTCTATTAAGCATTAATAACTCTTGAGGCCCCAGAGACCCCACACTCTGGCTTCATGAGGATTTTTGTCTGTTTAGTGTTTATTTTTCAGAGAGTGAAAGAGAAAGAGAGAGTGCACACGAGCGAGGGGGGAGGGGCAGAGAGAGAGGGAGACACAGAACCCGGAGCAGGCTCCAGGCTCTGAGCTGTCAGCACAGAGCCTGATGTGGGGCTCAAACTCAGAAACCACAAGATCATGACCTGAGCCAGAGTGGAAAGGTGAACCGACCATGCCACCCAGGTGCGCCGGGAGAACTTTTATTTCCAGATGAAAAGAGCTGGGTCTCAAGCCCATATGTGTGAGAAACCGTCAGTCCCAGGTGCTGAACCCCTTCCCCAGGTGAGCTGGCAGCCACGGGGGGCCTGGTGGGGGTGTGACTCCCCACTACTCTTATGGCCTCAGGCCAAGGCTAGCCAGGGAGACAGGGTGCCCTCTCTGGCTGAGAACTGCGGTTATGTCCCTTCCCCAACACACACGGACACAAACACACCTGACACGGGGAAACAACTATACAGTCAACCTGGAGAGCCTGTGAGTAACCAGGGGACAGCTGAAGACTTTACTCTCCCTGGGTACACGGGAGTCATTTTCAGGGTAAGTGACCAAGTGCGTTCTTGTATTAGGAGATTAGCTGCGGGGGGTGTTAAGGACCAAATGTTTGTGTCTCCCAAGAATTCCTGTTGAGACCCTAACCCCTGATGTGATGGTGTTAGGAGGTGGGGTTTCAGGAGGTCGACCAGGTCACAAGGGTGGATTCATCATGAACAGAAGCAGCCAGCGCCCTGGCCCTCTTTCTGCCCTGTGAGGACGCCACAAGAGGTGGGCGACCAGCGCCTAGGAAGGAGGAGGACCAAGCCGGCAGCAGACTCGGGAACTCTGAGCAATCAAGGTCTGTAATCTCTAAGCCACCGCTCTACAGTGCTTGGTCACAGCAGCCAGAGCAAATTCAGAGAGGTGGACACACACCATGTGCGTACTCCAGGAGAATTCAAGTGCAGGTGGTTGGGAGGGCAAAAGTGAGCGAACTGGAGACAATATACAAGAGACGATAAAAGAAGACGACACGGGATTTTTGCCCTTTCAAACCTCAACTCCAGATAAGATGCAATGTCTCTGTGCACGGAGGTTTCACTTTAGAGTAGAGAGACTTCAGAAAAATTGGATACGAACAGGAATTTTTTAAAAATCCTTTTTGGGGGCGCCTGGGCGGCTCAGTCCGTCGAGCGTCTGACTTCGGCTCAGGTCATGATCTCATGGTTTGTGAGTTCGAGCCCCGCACCAGGCTCTGGGCTGACAGCTCAGAGCCTGGAGCCAGCCTCAGATTCTGTGTCTCCCTCCCTCCCTCTCTCTCTGCCCCTTGTAGACTCGCTCACTCTCAAAAATCAACATTAATAAAAAAAAAGTATCCTTTGACAAGTTTGAGTTTCCAAGTGTTCTGAACGTCCCTATACTCATGAAGCCAAACCTGTATGATAGGGGTGTATTCCGGCCCCCGTCCTTAGACAGAGGAAGGGTCTGAGGCCCAAAAGGCCGAGTGGCTGACCTAAGGTCACACAGCTGCAGTGAGAGCTGAGCCTTGACCTTGAAGGTCTGCTCTTCTTGGCAGTAGGTGCTCTGGCAGTTACCCGTTTGGGACGCTTGAAATAAGCAGGCCAGAGCCCGGGGCCCAGGAATCTGTTAGTCTTACGAGCCTGTAGTTTTAATGCCCTATTTTTCTGAAAGTCCACACTACACCACCAGGGTGTTTCTCTTATTCGTTATGGAGTCCTCTTGATTTTATTTATATTTTGCAGCAAAATGATTTAAAACCAATGTGCTCGGGCACAGAGGAAATCTGACCTGAAAGACTGTCTTTGTGGCAAAAGGAGAACCAGCAGATACTTATTTCCTGCCTTTGCGAGGCCAGTAACATCCTGGTACAAGGAGATCCATCAATACATCTTTCATAAGGGCTTCTCTGCACAGTGAGGTGGAAAATCTTTCCAATGACTCCGGCCCATTTGTAACTCTGCCCTGAATAAAAGAAGGGATTGATCGGGGCTTGGACTGCTTCCATGCCCGGGGGGCCGTCCTGCGCCCTAGGAGATGTGGTCTACGATGGGATAAAATTCAATGGGGCAATTGCTTTTGGAGAGAGAGCCCAGTAGGGGTCAGCTCGGCCCCTGAAGAGGGAGCAGTGAGGGGTTAAACATGCTCCGCCTTGCTCTGCTTGGGGGGGGGGTGGTCTCTAGAGGGAGGGACGCCTGCAAGTCTCCAAAATTCAGAGGCTTAAAAGGAAACAGAGGGAAGGCTTGCCACTGGCTGCTTAGGAACCGCACCTCAGTTTCCCCTCCTCGTGATCCCCAATCCACAGTTGGCATGACGTAGCCTCCGTGCGTCCATCAGCCAGTGGGGTGGCATTTCTTAACCATCTTCAATGGACTGCCACAGTGGGGTTACTCAGAGGCTTCCTAACAGGGCAGAGGGACCTGGGGGCTTGAAAAGGATGGATGCCCCACGGCTCTGGACACATCCCACGACCCCAATATCCCCGAGTGGTGGCCGATGCCCAGAGTTCTATGCTGGCTAGGAGGCTAGGACTCCCGAGCCCAGTTTTAGATGCTGCCACTTGGGCAGCTGACTTCTCCCTCTGGACTGTACTTGACTCTTCTGTAAAAGTGGGGTGAGACTGCTTACCTTAGGGCAGCAATTCTCAATTTGGGAGTGGACATTTTGCCCCTCCCCCCAGGGAACATTTGGAAATTTCTGGAGACATTTTTGACTGTCACACTGGGAGACAGGGAGTAGGATGGGGTGCTACTGGCATCTCGTATGCAGAAGCCAGGGACACTACTCAACATCCTACGGGGCACAAGACAGCATCCTCCCCCACACACAAGAAAAAATGATCCAGATCAAAATGTCAGTAAGGGTGCCAAAGTCAACCAAGTGCAGAGAAAGCTCTTTTGGCATCCTCACAAGATGGTTCAGTGCTCTGGTTCAAGGCTAAGACACAGGCCCACACTCTTGCTCATCTACCCAAGATCTCATCCCAATCTCGACCTTCTCTCCCATTTCCTAGGCGTATGAACACGAACAAGATTCTTCTCTTATCCAAGCATCAGCTTCAAGGTTGAGATCAGGGGGTATATACAAGCTGCTCTAAGCCAGAGTCACCATCCATGAAGATTCTAACTCAGTATCATTCCCAGCAACTGGCACACAGCAAGTGGTCAATAAATGGGATGTGTTATTTTATGTAAGGAAAATAACATCTCTCTCCTAACTGTCACGGGCATAATAAAACGTGAAGTCTGGTTAGCACGGTGCCTCGTGTCCTTGATGATAACGAGTACATCTTGGTTGATGAAGGCAAAGGATCAATACGTGGGCACAAACATAAGTGACAAGAACAAATGAAGGTTTGTGGAAAAGCAAACGTCCAGGGGCACCTGCATGGCTCAGGTCATAATCACACACCGTTCATGCGATCAAGCCCCGTTTTGGGAGCCTGCTTGGGATTCTCTCTCTTTCCAAATAAACTCAAAAAAAAAAAAAAAAAGAAAAAAGAAAAAGAAAAAGGCCAATGTCTAGCCTGGAGCTTAACGTGCACAGAGTGGCCAAAAGGTATCTGCTCTGAGGCACCTAGGTGGATCAGGGATCAGTCGGTTAAGCGTCCGACTTCAGCTTAGG